TTGACAATTATTTCAATAATCGATTAATCACAATTAATCTGAATAAGTGTTTCGGCCCTAAATAAAACGTCAACAAGCGGAACGTAAACAGGGTCTATGAAGAGAAGAGAAGCTAATCTGGTGGAAACTTCGCAATCTGAAATTCTGAAGCAATTTATTGTGCCATCCGAATTTAAGTACAGGAAAAATTGATGCTTTGAAATGCAAAATAAGTAAGTAAAAAAGAATAAACAGGGGTCATAGCTGTGGGTAAAGTTCCAATAATCAATTAATTTTAGTTTTATATATTGGAGGAGTTGTACATGTACCTTTATTTTTTTTATGTGGTTTGATTTTGTTCTTTTTCTAGTGCTGCTTGGATCGATAAATGCCGCCCCGATATCCTAATATCAGAGTCGACATACGCAACAACTATCCGTGACTCGAAACGGTGCAGAGAAAGAGACTTCCTGAAGAAAGTTCATGAGAGCATAGAAAGAGGAGGAAAGGTAAAATTTTATTCAACAGTAAAGCAGAATTCTGGTTTAGTTTTATATGAAGATCCTCCTCTGAAATTCTGCCTTTTAATTTCCCAGGTTCTCATTCCAGTTTTCGCCCTGGGCCGTGCGCAGGAGCTCTGCATCCTGCTGGAAACATTTTGGTAACAGTTTGGCTTCAAAGCATCGTCAGCATCAACACATAGTTTATGTCCGAGCTAATAAAGACACTGATGTGTGGAGATAATTACAGCTTGTGGATGAAAAGCTGTTAGTTTTTCTTTTTATTTCTGTGTACTTTGTTGAAATTCCAGGTAAAATAAATGAAAACCTCTTAGCGTGAAGCATTTGCACATGACTGCAATACAAAGAAGCAAATGTTATGTGGGAGGCATTTCTTTTATCAGCACTGAAAGAATAAACGTTGTCTTTGACTGATTGGGCTACCTTTAATTATCTTAGGGAGAGAATGAATCTAAAGGCTCCCATCTACTTCTCCACTGGGCTGACAGAGAAAGCCAACCATTACTACAAGCTTTTCATTACATGGACCAATCAGAAGATCCGGAAAACCTTCGTGCAGAGAAACATGTTTGAATTTAAACACATCAAGGCCTTCGATCGCTCCTATGCAGATAATCCTGGACCAATGGTGAGCCTGTTCTTCCTCCTACATGTTTGTGTTTTTTTTTTTTTTTTTAAGTTGAACTGGCTTGCTTTTAAAATCAACGTATTCTCTTAGGTGGTGTTCGCCACACCGGGTATGCTACATGCTGGCCAGTCTTTGCAAATATTCAAGAAATGGGCTGGCAATGAGAAGAACATGGTGAGTCC